TTGTAAAGTGCTTAGCACAGTGCCTGATATGTAGTAGGCACTGAATAAAATGCTTCCTTCCTTCCTTCTTTCCTTCCTTCCTTCCTTCCATGATATATTCTCCAGTTCCCCCTTCATTCTGCTTCTTCTTATCAGGATGTACTCCAGTCAACATCCTTTCTAAACTGTGGTGTTCAGAATTGGCCAGATGCTCCAGATGTGGTCTGAGTGACATTACAGAGAGTTATCACCTATCTCATTATAGACACTTTGCAGAGATATTTTAGAAAAGGTTAGAAGTCGTCTGCTATCTTGTGGAAGTGAATGTTAAAAACTAAAAATACATAAATTTAAAAAGAAGTTGTCTGTTTCTGTATGTATGTTCCATTGATTGACCTCTCTATTTTTTAACCAATCAAATCATTCTGATTTTTACTTTGTAGTATAGTATGAGATCTAGTCCCCCTTCTTTCCTTTTTTTTTTTCGTTGCTTCCCTTGAGATTCTTGACTTTTGGTCCTCCAGATGAACTTTTTTATAGTTCTATAAAATAATCCTTTGGTGGTTTTTTTCATATGACATGGAAAAATATAAATTAATTTAAATACTATTGCCATTTTATTATACTAGCAAGCCTTACCTATGAGGGATGAATATTTCTATAATTAATTAGATCTATTCTATAATTAATTAGGTCTATTTCTTGTCATAAAAACACATTTTTTAGGATTATTTTTAGTTGACTATTTTGGTTTCTCCAGGTAGAACATCATACTATCTATAGATATGATAATTTTTTCCTCTCTATGCTTATTCCCTTAATTTAATTTTCCTGTTTTATTGCTATTGTTAACTTTTCTAGACCTATGTAATATAGTAGACGAGGATAATGGACATCCTTGCTTTGCCCCTGACTTTATTGAAAAGTTCTTTAACCTTTCTCCATAACAGATAATTTTGGCTATTAATTTTAGATAAATGCTAATTACCATGTAAAGGAAAGGTCTACTTATTCCTATGCTTTTTAGTATTTTTTACAGGAATGGTTTAATTACATACATGGTTTCCAGGAATAAGTTTTCCTTATATTGAATCAGCCTAGCATTCCTATTAAAAATCCAGCCTGGTAACAGTGTAGAATCTTTTAAATATGTTTTTGTGCCTCTTTACTAATATTTTACTTAATTGTTTTACATTAATGCTTATCAGGGATATTGGTCTAGAGTTTTCTTTCTCTGCTTTCTCTCCACCTACTTTAGACCACATTTATCTTACAGAAAACATTTGGAAGGATTATTTCTTTTCCTATTTTTGCAAACAGTTTGTAATATTGGGATTAATTGTTCTTTGCATGTTCGATAGAATTTACTTCTAAATCTAGCTGGTTCTGGGTTTTTCCCCCTTTGGAAGTTCTGTGACAAAGACATGATATTTCTTCTTGCCAGGGTCAACCAACATATGCAATTAATCCCCTTTCCCTCTTATCTTCAGCAGATTGCATCCTCAATGCTTCCCCCATTCTTCAATTTTCTAGTTCCCTCCCTACTGCTTTCAGGCATTCTCAAGTCTCCTATATCCTTGAAAAGATCTTCACTGGACCTTATCATCACCTCAAGCTATTATCCTATACTTCTTCTCCCCTTTTTAGTCAAACTCCTAGAAAAACCGTCTATACTCACTGCCTCCACTTTCTCTCCTTTCACTCACTCCTCAAACTTTTAAAATCTGGCTCCTAACTTCATCACTCAGCTGAAATTGCTCTCTCCAAACTTACCATGATTTCTTAATTGCCAAAACTGATGGTCTTTTCTTGGTCCTCATTCTTCTTGACCTATTTGCTGCATTTGACATTGTTGATCATCCTTTCTTCCTGGATACCTTCCTCTCTCAGTTTTTGTGACACTGCTCTCTTGGTTCTCTTCTCCTCCTAGGTGCTTTTTAGTTTTCTTTCTTGGCCCATCTCTATATCATGACCCAAACTCTGGGGGTTCCCCAACATTCCATCCTATGCCATTTTTCTCTTCTACCATCTCCAGTTGTCCTGATCTATGTCTTGCCACTGAACTCCAATGACTTTGGAGGAGAGAGTGAGGCTGATGACTTTTCATAGACCTGCCTCTAATTCACTTGCAAGTCAAGCAAGACATCACCCTTCTGATATCATTGATCCTCTTAGAGAAAGAAGGACAAACAACAATCCATGAGTAGTAGTAGCTGCCCCACTGGGGACCCAACTGGCCAGTTCTAGTTAGGTAATGCTGCTCCTTCCTTCCTTCCTTCCTTCCTTCCTTCCTTCCTTCATTCCTTCCTTTCTTCCTTCCTTTCTTCCTTCCTTCCTTCCTTCCTTCCTTCCTTCCTTCCTTCTTTCCTTCCTTCCTTCTTTCTTTCCTTTTTTCTCTCCTTCTGTGCACATGGGGAATCATACCCTTACATGTGAGTGCTCTGTCCAAAGGAATATAAATTTGATTACCTAAACCTCACGAGATATCTTAGGATTTGGGGGCAAGATTTTTTTTCTTCCCTACTTATTTATTCTATCATTTAAAAAAAACTAGGATAATTAACTCTTTTGTCTCATGTAGTTTTGTTTATGATTTCTTGAAATAAAGCCCATTGGGATTCAAATGGAGCTACTCAACTATGCCTTTAAACCCATATCACTCTGGCTGTCACTGATTGGCCAATAATAAGCCTTAGCCCAAGCCTTACTTGCTCATTGTTTGGGTTTTGATGGCTCAGAATGAGTGTAATGTAAATAGAAATTGTTTCTATTCTGGCCAGAAACCCTGAGGGTCTTCCCCTCCCAGATTGATTCTTTTGAGCAGGTAGACTAGGCCATGTTTCACCTCAATTCTCACCTAGCCTTAAATCACTAAATGGGTATTGCCTCAGACAAAATGAGACCTGAGAAAGACCTTAGCTTAAAAAGGCCAAGGTCTCCTCTGCTTCTGTGGCCATCTCCAATTATCCTGAGGTATGTCTTGCCTCTGGACTCTGATTTCTCTGGAGGAGAGAGTGAGGCTGATGACTTTGCCCAGCACTGCCTCACTTAAATCCAATTCACTTGGAAGTCAAGACATCACCCTCCTGATGTCATTGTTCCTCTTTGAGAACAAAGGATGAACAACAATCTCTCTCTTAGAAAGTATCATCTCTATGCAGATCACTCACAGATCTACATAACTAGTCCTAGTTTCTCTCCCATGCTTCATTCTTGCATCACCAATTGATTTTTGGACACATCAAACTGGATGTCCCAGCTACACACACACACACACACACACACACACACACACACACACACACACA